TAATACCATTGTTTTTTGAGCACTACCCATGAGAGCTGAGTAACTGGCTTTTCATTGATCAGAACAGCATAGGCCAGAGGGACAGAAACACAGTGACAGATAGTTCTCTCATCAGTACGTTCAGGAGAGAATGACTGTGCCTGATTATGAGCTGGTTGATTCATGGAGGTTTAATTGCCGTTAGTCTCCTGTCTACCCAGGCATATTTAATACTGGCTCCTGGTTCTGGTGTTCCTGCTAACTCTCTCTGTGACTTTGAACAAGTTACTTACTTACTTTAAAACTCAGTGAACAGTTTACAACTCTTCAATAAAGGCCTTTTTGCTCCTAAATGCCAATGGCTATGAGATTTGTCCCTTGTCCTTCACGTGCCACTCTAACCTTCCTTTGTGAAGAGACTCATAAGAGACCATGATCACAGAAATCACCTGGGCAACTTTAAAGCATGCCAATACTGGACCTCACCCCAGGAGATTCTAATTTAATTGGTTTGGGATGTGGCCTGGGCATCTGGACTCTTAGAGGTTCTCCAAATGAGTCTAATGTGCAGCCAGGGTTGAATCACTATGGCTTGATAATACCTAAGAAAATCTGTGGTTCATATACGTTACAGTAAATCACAAAGCAAGCAAGTTAGCATTGATCCTACTGATTGTGGGGTGGAGGAGGGGGATTACTTCCCTTCTCCAAAACTAATATTAAGTCACCCATGGACAAGATTCTGAATACTCTATTTACATTTAAACCAGCAGAACACACCCAATTCTGTTTTATCTCTGGGAAGACCCAATAGGATACCACTAGAATAGGATCCTAGAGGAAACTTGAATGAGAAATGTTCCCAAAGAGAAACTGAGATGCATTCTAAGCCAAATTGACTTCCTTCCAGGTATGTTCAATTCGGTAGCAAGCTGTCAGTGCAGGGAAGGCAAAATAATGACAGTGTGCAGACTTTGAACGCTCCACCAGTGTCAACACACCCCTGTCACAGTGCTGACATTTATATCCTGCCCTGTACATGGTGCAACTGGTTAAGGCTTATGTAGAAAAACATTAAGTCACTGCATTTCATTCGAAAATAGAAAGTGCCATAAATTCTGATCCCTCTAGTTCCCTTGAAATGCTTGTAACTTAGTGATTGAGCAAAGATCTTTCGTGCCATGTTGACAGTCATTCTGCACTTTTCAAAGGGGGACTGCACTGTACCTGGTCCACACACTCACCCTTGAGATCACATGTGTTCTGCTGGTTCTGATATAAATGAAACATCCAGAAATCAATCCCTGGTATTATCACAGAATGAACTAACTAAATAGAATTCATAATTGGCCAACTTGCTTGCCTAGAAGTTAGCTATAAAGTAAATGATCCATGGCTTCCTCCTATAGAAACTTCTAATTGTCTGCACTCAAGGACTTGTGATTCTCCTATTGGAGCACCAGGACTTTTCTCTTTAGCCATCTTTGTTCGTTCATTTTGCTTTTTGCCAGTTTCTTCTCCAAAGGGTGATTAGAACAGGTGTGAGGAAACTACAAAGAGAAACTCACAGGTGTCATAGTCTTTTAGAGCTGAAAAGAAATCCTTTCTGGTCCTGAGACCTAAAGAGGTAAAACAACTTGTCCAAAGTACCAGAGTTCCATGATGGCAGGAGGCAGGTCTTCTGAAACCAGGGC